GTTTAGGGCATGGGGTTTGAGACGACAGGAAGCGTTAAGGGGCTTCTGGCGGGGTCCCACAGTAGCACAGGAGGGCGGGGCAGGGCTGGTCACGCCTCCTGTGCTCCGGCAGAACAACTTTGAGGAGCCGGTGGCACTGCAGGAGATGGACACAAGCAACGGGGTCCTACTGCCTTTTTACGATCCCGACTCCAGCATCGTCTACCTGTGTGGCAAGGTGCTTGCGGCCGGAGAGGGAGAACGGGGCGGGGGTGGGGGGAGCCTGGATGGAGATGTTGAAGGCCTGCCGGTGCGCCTCTAAACCGACTGGTTTTACAGGGCGACAGCAGCATTCGGTACTTTGAGATTACCGATGAGCCGCCTTTCGTGCACTACCTGAACACGTTCAGCAGCAAAGAGCCGCAGCGGGGAATGGGTTTCATGCCCAAGCGGGGGCTGGATGTCAGCAAATGCGAGATCGCCCGGTCAGCAGCAGCCTTGTTTCCCCTGCACGTCTGCATGTCCCCAACTCATGAGGGGTCTTAGCCACGGGGGGCTTCCCCAGGAGTGCAATGTTTTGAAAAAGGGAGGTAGGGGTCAAACTGGGGTCTGTTTCAGTGCCCCCCTCACAGCTTACTAGCCTGACATTCTCTGAACTTCACTTCCCTCATCTGTGAAATGGGATGAACACCCACGAGAGGTGTTTTACCGCAGAACCGATAATGTGTTCAAAGTACAATGTGCGTGTTTGCCTCCAGTGTCTGGTCCCAGATGAGGAGTTAAGGGCGTGGGAATGTGAGGCAGTGCTGAACCCTGCTCCCTTATAGGTTCTACAAGTTGCATGAAAGAAAGTGTGAACCCATCATCATGACTGTGCCTCGCAAGGTGAGGGGCCAGGAGACAGAGGGATTGGGAGGGCTCTGGGGCGCAAGGGAGCGGAGCGGCCCCACACCGTTCTCACACAGGTCCACCCACTCCGCAGTCAGACCTGTTCCAGGACGATCTGTACCCGGATACACCGGGCCCAGAGCCGGCCCTGGAAGCGGACGAATGGCTATCGGGCCAGGACGCCGAGCCTGTGCTCATTTCATTGAGGGACGGCTACGTGCCCCCCAAGCACCGTGAGCTCCGGGTCACCAAGCGCAACATCCTAGACGCCCGCCCACCGTCGGGACCCCGCCGCAGCCAGTCGGCCAGCGACGCCTCCTTGTCGGTAAGATCAGGCCCCATTCCGCTCAGGACCAAGCTGTACATGCCCTAACGCCCCTGTCCGACACGGCCTCTGCTGTCCTCCGCGTCCCAGCAGCAGCACACCCTGGAGACGCTGCTGGAGGAGATCAAGGCCCTTCGCGAGCGGGTGCAGGCCCAGGAGCAGCGCATCACGGCTTTGGAGAACATGCTTTGCGAGCTGGTGGACGGCACGGACTAGCCAGCGTGCGGAGCAGAGCAGGCGGAGTGGGGCGGGGCTCACAAGCTCGGCCCCGCCTCGGCTTTGGGTCCCGGACTCTTTCCCAGGTTGGGGCCAGGGACCTGGAACTCCGCGCCTCGCGGGAGACCTGGACTGATGAAGCGTAGATGTGTCCCGCGTCCGTCTGGTCGGGGGCCAGGCTGTGCGCCTTGTCAGGAACTCTCCTGGAGCTGGCCTAGGGAGGCCTGGGTAACGCGGGCGGGCAGGGGCGGCTCAGCAATGGTGCTGCACGGCGAGGTGATGTTCTTTGTCCTTTGTCCCTTACCCAGGAAGGGAAGTGCTTAGTGTTAGGCGCCATGCTTGGGGGGATGTTGGAAGCTTGAGCTTCACCTCAAAGGGTTGGCACTTCTATGGGTCTCCCCAGAATGGGGATAATTCAGCGCCTCTCCCAATCAGCTCATTTGATTCTACCACTTTGAGTGATAAACCAGATGGCCATCACCCCTGTTCTGTAGATATACACACAGCTGGTTTGTTGCAGAGCTGGACCCACTGACTGCACCCACAGCAATCTGTAGTTGTGGGCTCTCTTCCTTTTTTCCACCAACAGGGGAAGGGAGGGCTTCCTCCTAGCAGCCTCAGAGGAGAACTAGCATGAGGAAGCAGGTTAACCCCACACACACACACTGCCCCCAGCGCTCTGCTGTGGCCTGGACTGTGAGGAAATCAAGTCGTATTGAATGAAACATTTTACTAAGTGCTCAGTCTGTGCCTCCTGCATGGGTAGGGGTAAGGGGGGATGAGAAATAACCCCCTCCCCAGCCTCTGCAGATACTCCCCAGGCTCCTGGGGATGCAGTGCAACTCTGGGCTCGGGACCCACCAGGCCACCCCATACCCTAGCGCCCTCCCCACACTGAGGTTCAGAAGGACCCCCAAAACCACACCATGGGTGTTCCTCCCCAGTAAAGACAGGTAGGAAAAACCTCTGTTTGAAGCCTCTTTTATTTGTGCCTCAGAATCAGTCTGGTGCCCCTGGCATCAGGAAAAGGGGTAGGAGGAACAATTCTCTGTTTTCTTTTCTTCCTTCCCTTTTGGTGTCCCTTCTGAGCCTCACTGGCTGAGAGAGAAGGCCAGTCCCAGACAGGCCCAGGACAAGGGTGTGCGGTGTGCCCCTGCCCCTGGCGGGCGGGGTCTGTGCTTCTCTGGGAGGGTGAGGTGGGGCAGGGGAGAGCCGGGGGTTAGCACCATTGGTTGAGGGTTTAAGAGTCAGCCCCTGTGTGGGGGCAAGTGGGATGCACAACCACAGAGGGCTAGCAGCAGCTGGTGGGAAGGGGTGGGTGGTGGTGCCAGGGCCCTGGACGACCTTTTTGTATCCAGTCTAGTATCAGATATAGTGTTTACCACAGCCCAATATGCCCCCACTCTCCAAGGCACCATAAGGGAGTCAGGTCTTGTCCAGGCCAAGGGGCCACCTTGGACACACTCCCTGATCACACACACACACACACACACACACAAACAAAAAACAGTGCCTTGGAGATGGGACTCCAACTTCTGGCAGCCCAAGGAGAAGCTGGGGCCACCCTGAGACCCAGGAGGAGTGTTGGGGCTGGGGGAGCCGGGCACCCCGCTAAGTGCACTTGACGCTGAAATGCCGGGGTGGGGGAGGGGCCGGGCCCTTGACGTGCTGGTTTGTGTCCGGGACAGAGCAGCGACACAGCACGCAGGGTGCTCAGCTGCCCCCCAGGGGTGAAGAGCGGAGATGCAGAGTCTTTAGGGGCAGTATCCTTGAGTGGGGTCAGTGAACAGAAAGGAGGACCGGCCAGAAGGAGCAAGGGATGGGGACGATGCTCCTCCAAAGATTCATCTCCCCCCTCAGGACCACCTGGCTCCACCTTTGGAGAGCTCCGAACCCAGGGGAGCAGGTTGGGGGTTAGGATACAGCAAAGCAGGGGGACCAGGCCATGCCAGCTGCCTCCAGGGCCCTGGCCTGGAAAGGTACCCCGCTCCGGTGCCGAACCTCTCCCCATCTAGTGCCTGGTGCGCGGCTAGACCCCCGGGCAGTGGCTCCAGTCTCCCGCCACAGCTTGGTCGGCGAGTGTCTCGCGTGACGTGAGCGAAGGGCCCGGCAGGGGGCGCTACTGCTCGGTCAGGGAGAGCCTCAGGATGCGCTCAAGCTCCTCCTCCTCCTGGCGCGCACGCCGCCGCCGCTCCTCCTGCTCCTGCGCGGACAGCTCCATAGCTAGCCGCAGCTGCTCATCGTAGCTCCGAAACACGCGGCCGCCGGGACCTGGGCCCGGGCTGGGCCGAGGGCTGGGCACCGACAATGGGGGCACAGGGTGGCGCTGTGGCGTGGGCGGGGCGCTCCTGGGGGTGGGGAAGAGACAGTGAGGGCTGGCGGGGGACTCTGCCTATAGGTGGGGACGGGGGACAGCGCAGGCCTTCCACCCTTTCATGGAAGCTACTAGTACCGTGTCGCCGCCCTGGCTGCCACCTGGCTGTGGCAGATCGCAGCCCCCACAAAGTCCCCTTCCATCGACGGCGACCCCAACTATGTGAGCAACTTCTAGGACCCTAGCCCAGGCATGTCCTCCTGTCTGGTGGGAGCCTGAAGTCCCTTCTCCCTGTGCTCCCCGCTGGAGCACTGCCCAACTACAGGAAGCCCGGAAAGGGTAGTGGGAGGAGTCGTCCTGACACCAGTAGGATGACAGCTGAGGGCACCACGGTTTCTTTGGGCCAAGAGTGGAGGCTCAGCTCTGCAGCGTTGTAACCCAGTGTGACCGGTGCGTTGTGTGTGTGGGGGGGAGAGAGACAATTGTCTCCAAATCCTCTCCAGCCTAGTGGGCACTAACCTGTCTTGTCGGCGACCCTCGTAAGACATGGGGTGGGTGCCTGGCTTGCTGTTAGTTAGCGCCTCCCAAATGGTGACCTGAGGGAGGGGCGTGGGCTGATTAGCCAGATGGTGCCACAGTCCCCTGTTCTGGAGCTGGCGCTGCCGCTGCTGCAGGAACCCACCTGGTCATACTCACTGCCCGCCTCCAGCAGACTCTGTTGGATGGCGAACTGCAGCAGGTCGTCGTCGTCATCACGGGTAGCCGCCTCCCGCTGGCCGCCCAGCACGCTGTAGCCGCGGGGGGCCTCAAACAACGCTGGGGAGATCTCACAGCCACGGCATGAGGCTGGGGGCATGAGGCTGGGGGTTAGACATAGGCTGGGCCCAACTGGGAAGGGGCAAGTGTCCTGGTGGGGAGGAGAAGTGAGAGCAGGTGGGGGTTGGGGTAGGGAGAGGGTTGGGGAGGGGATCGAAAGTCTCACTCGTGGAACTGGAGCTGCTGACGCTGGAGGAGTCGCTGCCTGGGGAAGGGGTCTCGCTGCTGGGGCTGCCTCGCACAGATGGCACCGGCTCGTCACAGCCATTGAGATTCCCAAAAGTGATACGAGCATTAAGGATGTGGAAGATCGGGATTTCTGAGGATGAGGAAACCATCAGGTGCCACCATTCTCCCCCTCACACCACAGCCCTCCATCTTGCTCTAAACTCCATCACCCCCACCGGGAGCTGAGAGGAAATGGCAGTGGAATCTCACCAATCTTAACTGGGAAACCAGGAGGCAAGCGCAGGGTGATGAAGTCCCGGAGCTTGGCAAAGAGCGCATTGCTGATGGCCATGAGGTCAATGATGGGGGCCACCTGCTCACACAGGGACAGGGGATGCTCCTCACACAGCCACAGCTTGGCCTTGAACCTGCCCCCCCAGATCCCAAGGGATGAGGGACACTGCAGGAAGCCATGGCTTCCCCCATCTCCTGGAGCCCCAACTCTGCTCACCCCTCCCCAGCACCAGCAGGGGGCCTCACTTCTGTGTCTTGGTGGTCAGTTCCATGGGGCGGCCCATATCACGGTTGCCAAGCTCAAAGTTGGGGTTGAAGTATTCTTCTGCAGTGATGGCAGTGGGGTTGGCTTGGCTCAGAGTCTGTGTGATCAGGGTCTGTATCACATGGGGAGGGGCACAAGAGCCCTTCTCAGTCCCTGATGTCAGGCCAGCCACTTGGTACCACAGCACTTCCAAGCCATTCCCCTGCCAGTGTGCAGCTGACATGGCCTTAGGCATTGTGGAAAACAGGTCCACACAAGGCATGCTAAGCAGGATGCCTCCCAACCCTCCTCTGAGCCACACCCACAGCCTTCCACTCAGGGGCACCGCTGCACTCACCCCATTTTGGGGGCCCCCATGCTGCTCAGCAATTCCTAGGAATGACTGCAGAGGCGTCTTACAGCCTACAAGAAATGTGGCATCTCAGAGGACACCACAGCCCACACACATTTGGGCACTTCACTGGAAATGGCAGCGTCCAAGACCTAGAGAGAAGGCTGGTTCCTGGGGTGGGGGGCTGCTCACCCATACCACATACCCAGGTACCTTCAAATGAAGAACTCCAAGGGCCAGTAGCCAGGACCACTGTAAGCACAGCTTAAAGTAGTAAGAATAAAATTAGGCTTAGGGCTCAGGAGAAACTTCCAAAAGTGCTACTCTCCATGTGGGTGATGCTGGACAGTGAGTATAATCTGCCTTTCATGAGTATAGTCTGGGGTATGCACATGTATGTGTGTTTTATGCTTCAGGCACTTCCATATTAGTGACTTACTTTCTTCCCCAGTGAAGTAGGAATTATGCCTTTCCATTCCAGATAGGGTAATTGGTGCCCTGAGAATCAGGTATGATACCAATAGGCACACAGAATCAGTGCCAGTGTCCCCTGACTTTCTTAGGCTATGTCCTGTTAGACTAAATGGCCTAATAAGGCATACATGATATTTCACTCCCTGCCCAAATCCAATGCAGACATTAGTAATCAATTGTATTGTGCCTTTCCACTGAGCCTAAATGAGCCTTTAGCATCACCTTATTACTCCAGACAACTGCCACCAATCATTAGGACGTGGCCCTTGAATTGAAATCTGTTTGCCTAAATAAACCATCCTAGCTCTTACTAGGATGCTCAAGGTAATGCTGATGGAGGCACTGAAGTGGAAGATGGTTCTTCCAGTCCTGCAACACCCCACTCACCCACCCAACCATCTCTGCCTCATTACCTTTGACCTTGCCCTTGTGCTGTTCTGAAAGATGCTCTGTCCGTGTCCGGGTGATGAGCTCCACATTGGATGCCCCATATACCTGGAGACAGATGAGAAAAGGGCTCAGAGGCAGCTCTAGTATCCTATGCCCTGCCCCCAAGGGCATACAAAACATTCCCTGCAAGAAAGTGTCCTGGAGGGACTCTGCTCTAATTACTAGGTCTTTGGGCAAGTAAATACAGTGGAACCTCCATAATTGACCACCACATGTATGATGGGTGAATGAGTACAGTATGTATGAATGAGTACAGTAGGCCTAATTCCCTATGTTGACCACCTCCATGCTTTGACCAGTTTGCTATAGTCCTTAGTCCTTTGAGTGGTCAACTTACAGAGGTTCTACTGCTTATAAAGGCATTCATTCACATATTCATTTGACAAACTTTTTTTTTTTTGAGACAGAGTCTCACTATGTCACCCTGGGTAGAGTACCAAGGCGTCACAGCTCACAGCAACCTCAGACTCTTGGGCTTAAGCAATTCTCTTGCCTCAGCTTCCCAAGCAGCTGGGACTACAGGTGCCCGCCACAGCACCCGGTTATTTTTTTGTTGCAATTGTCATTGTTGTTTTAGTAGGCCCAGTTTGAACCTGCCAACCTTGGTGTATGTGGCCAGTGCCTTAACCACTGAGCTGCAGGTGCCGCCTCAACAAACATTTTTAGAGGCAGCTTTATGTGCCAGGCATTGAGGTGGGCTTCAGGGACATAGTGGTAAACAAGCCAGACATGATCCCTGCCCTCCTGAGGCTCACAATCTAGTTGGAGAGACAATAAAACAGGCAGTTATAACTTGGCATGAAACATGCACTGGCCGGGGTAGCACAGAGGCCCTAACACAGCGTACAGCTAGGGCAGGCTTTCAAGAGAAGACATCATATCCAGAACCTCAGAGCATATCATCAACAGCACCATATGCAGGGCAACAAAGAGGTCTCAGAGTGATAGACACAGTCTTCCTAGAGGTAAGGCCCAGGCTTTGGAGTCAGGCAGCCAGGGTCTGAACATCAGCTTTGCCACTTGACAGCTGTACAGGTCACTAAACCAGCCTGAGGCTGTATTTCCTCATCATAAAATGGCCCAATAATCCTTACTTCATGGAGTTTTGGTTCGAAGATAATACAAGGGAAAGGACTCAGTAAACATAAGTACAATGGGAAAAATAACAGAACACCTACCTGATGGGGGTGTTGTAGGATTAAATGACGTGTGTGTGTGTGCAGCTATATAAAATGTCAGAACGGTGCCTTCAACCTGAATGTTAGTGCTCAAAAGAAGCTATTCTCATTAGCTGATGGTTGGGCCAATGCCCCCATGTGGCATTGCTTCTATATCCCCAAAGCTGGGAAGGGTGGTCAGGAAACCCTCACCCAGCCTGCTGTAGTAAGCAAGATATGAGTGTGTCAGGCTGGGTACAGAGGCTCACACCCGTAATCTTGGTATTCTGGGAGGCCAAGTCAGGCATATTGCCTGAGCTCAGGAGTTTGAGACCAGCCTGAACAAAAGGGAGACCCTATCTCTACTAAAAATAGAAGCACTAGGGCGGCGCCTGTGGCTCAACGGAGTAGAGTGCCCCCCATATGCTGGAGGTGGCGGATTCAAACCCAGCCCCTGCCAAAAACTGCAATAAATAAATTATATATATATATACACACACACACACACACACACACACACACACTAGCCAGGCATGGGGGCATTCACCTATAGTCCCAGCTACTCGGGAGGGTGAGGCAAGAGGATCTCTTGAGCCCAAGAGTTTGAAGTTGCTGTGAACTATGACAATGCCACAGCACTCTACCCCAAGATGACAGAGTGAGACTGGCTGGAAAAGAAAAGAGTGTGGCCACGTCTGGCGCTGGGAGTTGTTGCCTCACCTTAGCTTCATATCCGTTCACCATCTCAGTCTTCTCACTGCGCCAGCCCAGGATACCAGTCTTGTTCCTGGGGAAGGAGAATGGCCCAGGTGAGGTGGGCGCCCCACCAGGCTAGCTCTAGGCTGACCAAGGCCACAGCCACCAACCTCTCAAAGGAGATGTTCTTGGTGTCGAGCTGCGTGGTGACAACAGGTGCAGTGAGCCTGCTCAGCACCTGCTCCTCAGTGGGCTGGGCAGCCGCCAACAGCAGCTCACGGTCCTGCCCCGCCAGCGCCAGAGTCTCTGTGTACACCACTCTGCGGTCATGGTCAATTTCCATGACCACAGCACTCGTGTCTGCCAGTCATGGAACAGCACAGGGGTGTCAGGGGTAGCGCGGAGGGGTCTTCCATCCTCCCCACCCTGTCCCACCTCCTGCCTGTCTGACCTTGGCCCCTGAACACGAAGCTGCGGTTCCCTCGCTGCCAGGTCATGTGATCAAAGCCCAGGAGCGTGGTGTCTACCCTCAGATTCTGCCCGCTCTTCCACACTTTGTATGTGTCACTAGGGCAGATCTTGGACACTAGGGGCACTGAATGGAAATGGAGGTCAAAGGTGGCTTTGATTTGCCTGGCCCACCCAGCCTGGGCCAGCTCAGGGCATTAGGGTGGGCACAGTGTGGCCAAAGGGGAAAGAAACTGGTGAGAGAGCAGCCCCTCCTCCAAAGCCCTCCCCCAGCCAGCATGGACCATGTGCAGGCAGATGTGAGCAACCCAAGGTCAGGACAAGTGTGTCCCCATCATCACTATGTCCCTGGCACTCACCATTTGTTAATTCATTCACTTAAACATTCACCCATTCTTTCGACAAATATTTATTGAGCACCTACTGCGTGCCAGGCACTACCCCAGGCACTATGAATACAGCATTGAACAAGACAGAACCCTTGCCTTCTTGGATCTTACCTTCTAGCAAGGGGTGATGGGTAATAAATAAATAAGTAAATTGGTAAGAGTGAAGAAAATAATAGCAGGCTTGAAATGGTGTCTGGGGCAGCGTGGAAAGGCCTAGCTAGGAAGTGGCACTGAGCCCAGGGCTCTAGGATGAGAAGGAGTCATGAGAAGAGGTAGGGAAGAGAGCTCCAGGCAGGGGACTGCAAGTGCAGAAGCCTGGGCTGGGAGGGAGAGTGCCCAGAAGGCCCTTGCAGCCGGCTCACCCCAGCTAGTGAACTCCCATTTCATCTCCACGTAGAAATCCTGAGCCTGGAGGGTGAAGAAGAGAGAGGCTAAGCCTGCGCTGGACGTAGGCTCAAGGGCCCAGGGCCCCAGTGGGGAGGCTGCGAGGCTGGGCCTCACCTTGCGCAGCTTCTCCAGTAGCACCGGGATGCCTGCCAGCCGCTTCACCACCCGCTGGTAGTCCCGGTACCGTAGCACCAGCTGCACCAGCTCCAGGTCCCGGGTACTCACAGCCTCCTGAAGCACTGGGGAAGGGGAGACAATGTCACAGGGCAGGACCCCTCAGCCAACTACAGGTGAGTCGGTGATGCTGGGGAGACCCTGGCTGTGGGGCCAGGGTGAGCCGGGGTGCCCACCTGTCCAGCCACTGCGATTCTCCCTGCCCACGTCTGCGCCGTGTGCTAGGAGCACACGAGCACACTCGAGGTGCCCCAGAGTGGTAGCCAGGTGCAGGGGAGTCCGACCACGAGGATCCAGCTGCTCAATGTCCACCTGGAGAAGGAGTTAAAGATGTAAGCCCTGATCACCTCTGGGGTGACCCAACAGCCCCTGAGCAGGCAGAACTCCCCTCCTGGCTGCCCTGCCTTGCCTACGTCTCTAGGTGATAGAAGACAGACACGGCTCAGCGCCTGTGGCTCAAGTGGCCAAGGCGCCAGCCACATACACCTAAGGTGGCAGGTTCGAATCCAGCC